TTATGATCAGTCCTTCTAAGCACTCTTGAGAGTTTGCTCTCGTGTCATTTCATAGAGCCCAGCCTGGTGAAGTAAATGTCTTTCACTTTTGCTATGAGTCTCTTTTTTTTTTTTTTTTTCCCCAGAAATTCAAAGCACGGACCTGAAATTTTGTACCACTTCTTGAAATTGGGACTGCAAGCCCCATAGGCCTCCATCGCCCACCCTGGGCATGCACAGCACTGCCCCAGGGTAGCCCAACATGACAGACACGCAAGCACAAGTGCAACTGTATGAGGAGAGAGGCAAGACCTCTCTCCAGGGGCCACAGGCCAGATGACAAAGAGCCAGGAGAGGAGGTTTATAGCTGAATATCTTTGCCCAAGGGGAAGCAGGCCAAAGAATACAAAATGTCAGCAGAGGGCATGTTGCCCTTGATTGAGTGGAGAAGGGCCCCAGTTGGCTGGAAACCCAGAATTAACAACAACAGCAAAATTAATAAGATTTGCCAGCTGGGAAGAGACATCTGGCTAGTGATCAGAGGGGCCTGTGAGTCAATTAATCCATCTCCGAGCTGGATTAGCACATTGAAACATGCTTCCTTTCACTGCTGCAGAGGGACCTGTTGAATGAGCTATAAAGATGAATGGAACTAAAGAAATTTCATTTAGATTAAGAGAAATGGCTCTGAAGTAGTGGGTGGGTGGATTTTACATGCCTTATGTGCTGCAAGAATTAAGCACAACTCAGAGAATTTAGGGCATGAAACAGCCATTTGGATACAAAAGCTCTTGAATTTAAGATCTATTTGATTTAAAAGTTATATCTAGCTATCTGCCTATTTATTTCTTATGCTTATAGCATACCCAGGATGAAAGATACTGCAAACATAGATTAGGATAAATAACTCTTTCAGTTCATTCTTCCCCAACTGTGTTATATCACGTTATTGTGTGTGTCTCTGCAGAAGCTATTCCTGGGCTCTTTTGCTATTATATGGAATGGTAGGACTGTCACTCAAGGACATGATCCTGCATTTAGCTCTGAAGAGACTGAGACTCAGTCTCCACCTTCTCTGTCATTGCATATCAATGGGATGTGGTCTCCTTAGATACTTTTTAGATCATCAGATATAGGACTTGAAGGGACCTCTTTGTTCACTGAGTTCAGTTCCTGCTGTCATGAGCTATCAAATCATATAATCCCTTCACAGATTTCTTAAATTCCCTCTTCAATTTTGATTTTTTTGGCTGTTATCCCTGACCCTGCTGTTGGAAGACTTTTCTAAAACTTCATTCCTCTATTGGTTAGAAACTTCTTTACAATTTCCAATGTCCGTTTATTCAGGACCAGACTATAGTAATTTTTTCTTGTGCCAGAAATGTATTTTAGTCTCCTCCCTCCTGAGTACTCACCCCTGTGAGGCGTCTACGGATAGCTGTCAAAAACTTCAGTTTTCCTTTTACTCAGCTAAACAAGCGAAGCCACGTTTTTATCTTCCCTTAAAACAGATTCATCAGTCCCCTGGTTATCACAGTAGTCCTTTTCTGCACCTCTTCTTATTTTAGTTATTATTTTCACAATAATACATGGATTATACACAATTTTTAAATGGCATCCTGTACAATAATACCAGCAGCACCTTGCATCTACAGAAAATACTCTTTCTGTCTATACCTTGAAAGTTGTATTCATTGATCAGGTGCGGCATGCACCCAAGCAGTCTCCTCTGTTTTCAGCAAAGGAGTTTTCAGCTTTAGGAAAGTATAAGGAATTTCTTTAGCACCTGGAATTTTATACTAGAGATCTCTTAGGAAGAAACACGAGAGTTTTCTCATCCAGAAGAGGATGCCCAGGAACTATCCTGATGCAGCTATGAGCAAAGCAAATTCAGTGCTAGGATGCATCAGGCAAGATTTCTCTAGAAGTAGTGAGGAATGTATTTGTGTATTAGTGATAAGATAAATAGTGCCAGTAAACAGTCTTAGACAATATAATTTGCCCATACTGAGAAATTGCTAGAACAGTCCCCGGCATAGTTCTGATCTGTGTCACATAGCTTTTTTGGGACATGATCTTGTCCCAGATAATTCCTAGGCATGGCATGGGGCTTTGCACATAGTGGGGACCGTATACATTTTCCTATACAGGTACCCTGTTTTAGAGGCTGACAGGTTAGCTGTATGGGTGCACACCACTATGGGCCTAATGATCTCATTGAATGAGAACAGTCCCACATAAACTTAATTTATGAGACTAGACATAGCTATTGACACTAGTGTACAGCTCTTTGAAGGACTGTGGACAGTTCTGACTATCCGTATTCATGACAGAGGATCATGAAGGTTGCAACTGCAGCTCTTAAACAGTGACAGACACCAGAATATGATTATCTATATCACTTAATTGCTAGCACAATCCCTGGTCCTTGAGTATTGGCCAAGATAACTCTCCCAAGACAACTCTTGTGAAGAGGCTGGAGATTGTCTCAGCCCCAGCAGCATTCACAACAGACCCCTGGGATGTGACCATCCAGTTGTGGAGTGCCAGACATTTTAGCTGCAAACGCACAGCATAGCTGTGCCAGATGGTATCTGGACCAGATAGTGGTCCATGTCCCATCCTATTTGCTAAGATAATTGCAGCTAGATCCTATTTGCTAAGATAATTTCACTACAACTGGATCAGATGTAGTGAAGGGTTATTTGGGTGATCAAGAGAATGCAGAATTAACTCTATGACATCAAGTAAAACAGATTTTGAGTGCTTTTGAAAATTTTCCTTTATACTCAAAGAGAGTTTTATGTACAAAAACTGTCCACAGCTCCTGGGAATTTAAGATTCCTCGATTCCTTTAACTCAAGCATCCTAAATGATTTCAGCTGTCACATGTCATGTCTGAGAGACAGTGGGCTTTGACACTATATGTACCTTCAAATCGATGCAGCACTTCTCTGGGAGGCAATGACAGTTGCTGAGCATGATTTTCTTCCCAATAAATATGAAAACTCCACAGGCAGCAGTCAAAAGATATTTACCCTCCTTTAAGATGTTTCATATGAATCTCCTTCTTTCCTCTGTCCTTCTGCCATCTGTCTCCTCTCTCAAGCAAAGTGCCAAAGTAGATAAATTCAGGGCATACCCCTCTGAAAAAACAAAGGGGCCTAGAGTAATGAAATCCCAAAGCTGTGAACATCTGTACATAACTAGGGTTGTATCAGGTTTGCAGATACCTAGTCCCTATTGATACTGTATTGCTCAGTGTCCATTGACAGCTATTGACTGTTATGCAACACAGACAGTCCCAGAGGTAAAGAGGGAAGGACTCCCTCTTGGCATGTGTATAAAGCCTGCTGCAGTGAGTGCTTTGCTTTGTTAGGACTCTTAGTTATACTTACACAATGCTTAAACTACAATATTAGTCAAAAATTCAGTTACCTCATCTGAGATACCGGGGAGGGGATGAGAAGCGTTTATCTGCCTTTTTGTTTAAGTGTAAAAGAAAGACTCAAACCTGGTTCCCAGTTTGGGGCATGTTCAGTCCAGAGATCCAAAAATGCAAAACGCTCTTTGTCTGGAGACCGCCATCAGTTCTTCCTCCTCTGATGGTGTCTTAGAACAAGCAGGTGAAGTACATGCAAGCATTTTGGAGAGGAGAGGATACATGCAGAGAGGGATCACTGCCATGGTCTACAAGGATGCAGAAGCACCTCCATCCACTTCCCTACAGGTCTGAGGAACGCATCTCAGGACTAACCCACCAAGCATCATGTCCCTCCCCATCAGCTTCAGACACCCCCTGCTCAGTATGCCACCAGTCAGCCTTCTCTTCTAGGGCTTCTGATTTTCGCTCTGTGCATGTGCAGTGACACATTGAGTGCTGTGAACCAACAGCAAGTGGTTTAGGGCTTTTGTTACAGGTGCTCCTCAAACATGTTTATCCACTCATTTCCACCCCTCCACCCTAATTAGCAGCCAAATGCTGCTAATTTTTACAATTTTGAGATATCCATATATTCCTTAATTCATTCATTTCACAGTTGTGTTCTAAGCAATACATCTTCTAAAACTTTTTGATGCATAAATCAAAAAGTAATCTAATTAAACAAGTGATCATAAATAGATATGTATGCTTGAAAATAAAAATTTTAATATGAAATGCAAGCAGATATTAATAGAAAATCTGAATTTATAGACTTTATAAATATACCCAAACTTATTTTCAGAGCCCATCAGTGTGATGAAAGGACTCCAACTTGTCTTATATCACCAGTGGGGAATTTAGGACTATCAGGTATGGAGAAATGTGCCTACAGTCACACTTGACACAGAACTGTGAATTCAGTTGAGGTTTCCTGATCATCAGCACATAAGTTAATCATGATGAGAGAAAAGAGTCAATTAGGACAGCTCTAGGAGCTTGAAATAGCTCTAAATATCCCTTTATAGCTGTTAAGCCATTTTCCTTCAAAATGGCACAGCAAGAGACACAGGGAAAGTACTAAGGAAAGACAAACCTGGTCAGGATGATTGTCACCCATCTAATCTCTGTCAGCTGTGACACTGAGGGTGTTTTAAACATACCTGCAAACTGCACTGACCTTACACTGATGTATAAGGGAGTCTGTGCATTATAAAAAGAAAGCATTGTTTAGAGAGAGATTATTAGCTTGTTTGAGAGCATGTTCAACAGAAACTCTGGGAATAATAAGGAAGTGTTTAAAGCAGATTGCCTGCCTCTTTCAGATGTGTCAAGGAGCTGATCCAAAGATACCCAGGAACTTTAACAGGCACTGGAGCAGGCCCATCAGTTTCTAGTACTGATAAGAGCAGAGCTGTTAGCGCTTTTGCATGGCATCCTGTAAAAAAAAGCACTGGCATTTGGCTTACTCAGGAGAGATTTCACCATCTGTTATCGTAGAGACCCAATAATGATACAAAAAAACAAAAAACAAACAAAAAAAAAACCTAACACTGTCACCATTTCAAATTTAGTGAGGTCCTAAAATATTCCTGCACAGGTAGAGGATTTTGCTGGAGGAGAATCAACAGAGCAACAGGCTCAATTACATCTGAGTTTCCTGTGTCAGATCTGTCAAGCAACTCATATCATCACGTCTGTAAGTGAATATGAGTAATGCATTTTATTTGAATTCATGTGGTATTTACTACCTACACCCAGACAGATAATGGACAGATAGTAGAACAATGATCAGCAAGTGGCTACCACTTAAATCCTGTTTTATTCTGCAGCTTGCCTGCCTTCATCTGTCTTCCCTTCTGAAGAAGTAAGCAGGATCTTTGTGTCTCAGATGGAAATGCAATGGCTTATTATGAATTCATTTTAAGTTTTCCATCTTCCATCCAAAATCATGACAGTGATAAAAAAATAAAATCCCACAGTATTTGTTTCCAAAAGCATTCAGCTCCATGCATATATGTTTAGCATTCTGCAATTGGATTTCTCATCCCCAAAAAGACACAGTCAACAACTGAACTTTCTAAGTAGCAACAATGCCATTTAAGGAGTCTATTTGCCTTGCCAAAAACAATAGGTACTAAGTATGGCGGTGAGGGCAGAGCATCCTGAGAAATACTGAAATAATCTGTTGCTGCAGTTCTATTGATTTTGGAAGCACAGAGAATATGCTGAACAAGATGAAAAAAAAAAAAAAAAAACAAAAAACCAAACATTAAGTAACATCACGTGAATGTGGTAATAAAACATCATACATACTTTCCTCATTGTCAGGTTCCTGAAGGAACAAAATATGTGTTCAGCCCTGAAAACTACCTTCTTTCAATACAAGTATTGGTACACATTCATTTGCTCTAGCTGTCTGAATTCCTTCGGGTTTAGTGAAGCTGTCAAAACCTTACAAGTGCGAATGCTGTTGTGTAAGTAGAACTAATGACTCCTTTTCTGCTTCCCATATTTTAAAGCTTTAAATGAGTCTTACTGCTGGGGTTAAAGGGGAGGAGGAGTGGAGGGGCTGTCAAAATGGTATTGTAAATCTGTCAGCATTTAAAATCTTAGACCTGATTGACCTCATGACAGTGCTTCAGACCAGCATTTATCTTGGTGTTGTAAAGCAAGCAAACTATCTTTACCGAGGCATGAATCCCATTTTGCAATCTGTTGTAACTAACTAGGGTATGAGTCTCAAGTGGAACGCTCCAGTCAAGCAAATAAACATCGAAAAACAAACAAAAGCATTTGCATTTCTGGAAGTACTAAATGTATTTTTATTATGCCCTTTGAGTGTGTGTAAATGTTGGAGTAAGGGGACAGTAATGTGCACATAGATGAGCATCGATTATTTTTTAAAATAATTAAATAACTAAAGAATTAATATCAATAATAACTTGTGCTTGCCTGAATGTTGTGTGTTGAGGTTTTAGCTGATGCTTGTCATGATATGGGATCACAGGCTAAGGGCTGTTTAGGGAGAGGGTTTCCTCAGTGTCCAGATCCACCAGCACATTGTGGTCTGCACCGTGAGCTATAGGATGGTTATTTTTAGTACAAGGAGGAGGACTTCCCAGCAACATCCTGCTTACTGCTGCAAGATGAAGGCTGGCTTCAGAAAGCAGTGTCAGCCTGCCAAGCACCACTACCTACATGCTGTCCATCTATGCCAGTGGTTCTATCCCAGGGTAATTTAGATTCAACTGAATAGAGGTTATTGACACCCTCATATTTCAGCCGGCTATGTTACACTCCTCCACAGTCATTAGAAAGGCTCTCCAGAAAGCACTTTGGAGCAGGAGCCAGACCCAGGTGTTCTGAAAATTTATGACTTTCTCTACATACTAGCAGCAGAGACGACCCCCACATGCCTTATTTAATTGTTCTTCCAACAATTCATTCATTCAGAGGTGATGTAATTCTCTGGAGAGTGCCTCCTGTTTTACCAGAGTGTGTGCTCCTAGTTCTTGCTCAACCTACAAACACACCCTCTCACAACCCAGAAATAAAATCTTTCCGTGTAAGATATGTCACAACATTGAAGTTTGGTCTGAGGCATGTCTTCAGCTGAATGAAATCTGGTTGAAGCCTGTAGAAGATAGGATTAACATTGCTATCCAATGGGGCCAAATTTCTTCTGCCACCAGAGGCATACCTAATTTAGCTCCATGCAAAGAACAGAGTGTACTCACTGACTAGACTACCATTCACTGCAGGAGTGCATAGAACATTGCAAGCATAAATTCTTAGGATGCAACTGCAAAGTCAGAAAGTAATATTATCCCTATTTTATATAGGCACAAGGAGGTGAGCCAAAGACAGAGATGAGACTGGAACCAAGTTTCAGTACACTGTTTTACCTACTAGACTGGAGTCCTTCCAACAAATGGAAAAGGATTTTGTATATTATACTGTGAGCTCAAAGCCAATAAAAAAATTCTCATAGGTTGTAATGAGTTAACTGCAGGAAATAGGGGGTGTACATGACTTTTCTTAAGTGATTTGGAGAAGTCAGTCTTTAAATTAAAGATTATCATAAAGTCAAAAAGTACTGAAGGGTATCTGCATAGAAAATGCCAGGATTTTCTCCTTCTCATAAACAAAAAAAAAAATAATATTCAGGGAACTTTGAGTGTTTCTGATCTAATGTTGTAGAACTCTTTCTTCTTGGTTCCGCTACTGGCTGTGCAGTCACTTCCCCACTGAAATTATCACCTTTCTGAACAAATAACTTTCTAAAGGGTTAGTACTGTGGCCATAGTGGTCTAGTGTGAGACAACATTTGTAAAAAGAAATGGAAAATCAATTAATGTTTTTGAGGAGAAACAAATAAGCTTTTGTTAACAAAGAACTGAAAAAGAATTTTGGTGCTCTAAATGGTGTCTACTTTTTGTAGCCATATCAATCTTATAACAGGAACCACTTCTTGTGTATGGACTGGGCTGTATTGAAGGTCATACCGCACTGCCTCTAGCTTCTTGTTCTCTTCTTTGCTCTTAGACACTGATGATCTCAGAATTAGATCCTGGAACTGGGAATGAAGTGATATTTGCTTCTTCTGCCATTGATTCATGTCATAGTTTGTTTTCTCCACAGCTTCTGATTGGTAAAATACAGGGATGGCACTTATCTCCAGTAATAAAGGGATTTGTATGTGGTAGGGAAGTACAAAATTCTCCTGTTTATTAGTTTAACTAGTGAAAAGGAGAGAGCTGTCCACAACTCCATGAAAAAAATATTTCTGAGTCTAAGGATTAAGTGTTCAAAATAGAGAAGTAACCAAAGGAAAATGAGTTCTGTTGTAGGTTTACTTTGCTGTTGCGTTGCTGAGCCATTCAGGATACCAACAGTCCCCAGGTGAAGATCATGCCATTGCTTTAGACTCACTGTATGCACTGAAGCACAGCTAATGCTCTCCTGTAATTGTTTCCTGAATGTTGAAAGCAGCCAGAAAGCCCACATGCAGGCATACATATATATGCTCATTGCTACTCTTAGTCTGATGGAAATTTTATAAATTGCTTACCCTGTCTGGAACTGTATTGCTTCCAACCAAATATCAGCACATTGATTTGAGCAGCAGATCTAGGAGTTGAAAATGGGTTCTCTGAAACAACAGGCTTAACAGCTGAAAGCATCGAAGCGCCAAGCCTCCATGCTGGCCAGTTGATGACTTTTCAGTTTTTTCTCCGTGGGTCCTAAGATGCAATAACAAATTCATAAATTAGTCCTGTTGACCTTTAAGTATCAATGGAGAAAGTTTTCACCTTCTATCAGAAATTAAAATAATCAGTTGGTGTACATATATGGACCTCTAATACTAATGTTAATATGGTCCATGTGCTCGTTTTTCAGATGTTTGTTCCTTTTACTCAATATGTTTACAATGAGGACCTACCCACACTTGCAACAGTCACTCAGGGGCACTAGCATGCACCTGGAAAAATTGATTAGCTCACTTGCATATGTGTTGTCAGGTAAACTGCTGTTCCATACAGTGAATGCAGGTGTGTCCACACACCTGACAGAAAGATCCAGCTGTACATCACATGCAGATATCTTTTAAAACTCTCTGATTTTCTTACTACATCTGTTCAAATTCAATATACTTTACACTAGATCCATCAAATAAGAGAGCAAAGGAAGGAGGAATTTAATTTTTCCACTTGAAATATTATAGATCTTCTTATTACATTTCTATGCCTTCCCACATTACAGTCATATTTAATTCAGTTTAAGTACCAAGTGTTCATTCTGGATGAATGAATAATTCTGAACAGCTGGAACAAAAGAACAAAAAGGTTTTAATGTTAACAATGGTCCAGATCCATCAACAATATAATTATGATGACACAAACAGAGTCTCTTTCACCAGTACTTAATTTGGACATTACATTACAGTGTTTTATTCCCCATGATTACAGTCCTAGATCAAAACAGTCTGTTGGTACACCAGAGCTCATAGTTCAAGTCTATAGTGCTCCTGACTCAATGAACCAGTGGAGCAAGTCAAAGGTCTCATGTTGACTCTAACAGAGGTTGATTCAACAACTGACACAAATTATTGAATTCAGCTTGAAGAATGTACATGTTTTCTCTCAGTATAAGAGACCCTTCCAGTGGTGCCTGTTGCTAAATTTGTCAAACATCTACCAACATGTAGCTCTCTCAAGCCCTGAGTGCATGGAAATGTAGGGTGTGGTGTGCCTGAGGCTGTTTAAGGTGAGCTGAGAGTGTTGAGAGTGAGAATGTTTCAGCCAGTAATTGTGTAAGAGGAACACATGGAGATGGAAAGACTGCTGCCTTCCCATTTTAAAAGATACTATTAAAAAGATTCTATTAAAAAGATTCATTTAAAAAGCAATGACAGTTGCTTATGCTTTGAAGCAGGACACTGAGAGTGAGCAGTGAGCAGAAGAGTCACTTGGTGGAGATTTTTGCTAAACCTTTGGGAATATCCTGAATCTGGGCTCTTACCAGCCCTTCAACATAATCACTGCTTACACATACTCAGGAAAACCTTCTTAAGAGACCAGTAGCTGAAGCCTTTAAAGAGTCTGTCCTTGCTGAAAACACTTGAGCCTCTCAGCATTTCTAGTGCCATCCAGAATAATCCCAAACAACAGAGAAGGAGGCTGCATTGCTTCACTG